TGAGGTGGCCCCTGAAGGCAGGTCTCCAGCCCCCAGGTCCAGCACACCATTTGTCACACAGGGCACTGCCTCTCCATCTACATATGGCAACTCCTAGGTATGAGAAGCCATGCCATCATCCTAGGAAGCAAACGTTGTGGAGATTCTGCCTAGCAATAACAGCTCCTGCAGATGCCAGGGCCAAAGACCCAGAAAAGAGAGTTCTTGCCACCAAAGTCCTTGGCACTGCCAAATCGTTCAACACCAGAAACTGATATCATTTTATCAGTAGAAATGACATTAAAGATGGGGTGTTAGCATTTACTATGCCATTGTACCCTAATGACCATGGGACCTTTCTATCTGACTTACAGTTAAAACCTTCCATATGTGCTGTCTCCTCCAGTAGAATGTGAGCTGTTTGAGAGGAAGGGTGTCTTACTTCACTATTTTTATTCCCAGCACTTAGCCCAGAGATTTTCACATAGAAAGCACTTAATAATAGCCTTTTCATTTGTTCATATATGTTGTATGCACATGTATGTTGTATATAGTTTATACACAGGTACTATAAGTCTACATATATAATACACACACACAGGTGCATGCATGTATGTGTGTGTGTATGTGTGTATCTTTTCCCCTGATCTAATGTAAGCTTCCTGAGGGTAAGAGTTATTTTAGTCTTTGTCTCTTCAGTGCCCAGCATAGTGCCTGTCACACAGAAGCTTGGTGATTGATTGTTTGCCTAGAGGACCATTTGACTGCTACCTTTAGTCTCCTGGATTTAAGAGAGCCCCCTGAAGAGCAACCTCATTGGGTGACATGCAAAAAGGTGGTATTTATGGAGCCCTAACGGCACAAAGGTAATCAAGAGTCAACTATCTATTGCTTGAAGCAAAGAATGATTTTGGGTCAAATTAATTTACTGCATTATCGTGATATCTCCTGGAGTAAGAGCTGATTGGCAAAGAAAGCTCAGCGGGCTGACTGCTTTTATCTTTTTTTTTTTCCTAATGTATGTAAAGCACAGATCACAGAATATCAGAACTGGGGGGAGCTTAGAAATCAATTATTCCAAATTCCTCATTTTACAGATGGAAGAATTGAGGCTGTGGGAGGAACATGACTTGCACTAAGCAAATCAGTGGCTGACCTGGGACCCCAACCCAGGTCTCCTGACTCCCAATGCAGTGCTCCATCTACCACGCCATGTTGTATGTATACTTTTGCTTTATCAAAAATACCACCATCAGAGCCACTACCACTAATTCTTGCAAGGTACGGAGAGTTATATTCACCTTTGTTATCTAACACCCTCCTTCTTCAACCACCCACTCTATTGCCAACCACAGTACACACAGATGTTGCTTCATACATTTTTGTTGTGTGTTGGTGAGTTGTGGAAGAGGTCCCTTGGCACAGGAAAAAGAACAATGGATTCGAAGGGGCCAGAGGACCTGGTACGAATCTCACTTCTGTTTCCTACTATCTCTGTGACCTTGGGCAAGTCACAGTAAACCTCTCTTGGCTTTAGCTTCAGGTGTTATGCCTGAGTCATCTCCAATTGGCTTGCAAGATCTAACTGTTACATTTTCAATATGGGCATCTGCACCCAAGAAATCAGCAAAGGCTACAAATCAGGGTTTGAGTGAGCATTTGTTGATTTTTAGATTTAAGAAAGTGAAGAAAATGTTAGTAATACATATTAATCTTCAAAGTATGTGGAACACAATTTGGTGAATCAATTGGGGGTTTTTTTGTTTGTTTTTGTTTTTGCTAGGCAATGGGGTTAAGTGACTTGCCCAGGGTCACACAGCTAGTAAGTGTTATGTGTCTGAGGCTGTATTTGAACTCAGGGTCCTCCTGAATCCAAGGCTGGTGCTCTATCCACTGCGCCACCTAGCTGCCCCCAAATCAATTGTTAAACATTTCCCAGCACACCCTTGCTTAGTTTCTTCATCTGTGAAAATGGAGGTAGTTAATCAGATACTGAAGTCTCTTCTAGAATAAATCTATAATCCCGCCAGATAATGAAGGTTAATGGACATGGTGCTAAATTTGGAATAACTTGACTTGAGTTCAAATCTCAGCTCTGTGTGATGTTGAGCAAGTCACCTAATATTTTGGGGCCTCAGCCTCCTCATCTGTGCAGGTGGGATGAGGATGGAGATAGGAATTAGACTAAATGTTCTCTGTAGTCCTAAATCTACGGCCCTATGACCCTATAACCTTGGTAGCTTGGTGTATTAGCTTCCCCTCCACAAATCTAAGGGGGCTTAGTAACATGCCCAAATTGAAAACTCTTGTAGCTCAATTTTGATGAGGCCCCTAAGAGAGATACCCTAAGTGATGCTGACTGCCTTAAAACCCAGGGAACCCTCAAGTATAAGCTAGACATATTTTAGACATATTCAGGTTCAGATGAAACATAAGTCTAAGACAAGGAATCAGGACATCTTGATTCTAATGACAGCTCTGCTGCTACTAAGTTGGGCAAGTCACTTAGCCACTTTGGCCTTTGGTTTCCTCATCTTGGGAATACTTGTTCAATCATAATATTACTACTACCATGTAACTAACACAGAGGGGTGCATGTGACAGGTGCTCAAGAAATAAATTGTTTATTAAATGACTGATGTTCATTGGAAGGGAGTCTGGGTTTAATATTTCCAGAACACTGAAACTTGTTTGAACATATTCGTTTCTTGCCCCTAAGTCATTCATTCATTCATTCATCATTCATTCATTCATTCATTCATTCATCATTCATCCATTCATTGTTTAATGCTTAACATATGCACAGCTCTGTGCTAGTAACAATCTAAATGTAGTTGGGTGTGGGGTGGGGAAAGTATGTTTCATAAGAAACTGAAGTTAGAGGTACCAAGTACTCTTAGTTTTGCCTCAAAATATGTGCCTAGGTTATTTCCATCATTCATCAGATTAAAAATAGTCATGCCTTAGCTAGTTGTTGTTTTTTCTAGAAGAAAAGTGAGAAATGATGTTGTCCTACGAGAAAAACCTTGGTTTCAAGTACATAGTCTTGGGTTTTTGTTATGGGCCATGTGACTTCCGTTCTGTGATTAGCCTTAATTTTCTCATCTGTAAAATGAAAAGGTTTGGTTGGATGATCTCTAAAGTCCCTTCCAATTCAAACATTTTATGTTCTAGGGCTTCTTCCAGCTCTAACATTCTAGGATTCTGTGATCTAAATCCCTTCCTCTGAGGCCAAAGTTTTCTACATGTCCAAAATTATTAGCAATACTTGCCAAAATCCTAGGATGAAGTGGAAAGTCAGTCTAGTTATGAAGGGCCCAGAAGCCCTTGAGGGAAGAACGGACTACAAATCTGAGGTGTTATTCTTTAAAAAAAAAAATCTTCCATGCATCTGGCACTCTCCCTGAGGACTGATTAATTTCTCTTTCATCCAAGGGCCTAGGTCAGCTGGGAGCATTATAGGTTAAAGGTCAGAGTTGAGGTGATAGACATTTGTATAACCTCTGCCTAGAGCCTGGGCTCTGAGTCGCACCCACCCTCACACGTGGCTTTCCCACATGTCCTCAGAATAGGAATTGCCCTGCATTTGGAGTGAGATGATCTAGGTTCAAATCCAGGCTCTGCCACATGTTACTTGTGTGACCTTATACGAACCACTTAGCCTTTCTGGGCCTCAGTTTTCTCATCTGTAAAATGAGGCAACTGAACTAGAGGCAACTAGGTGGATGTTAGACTTAAGAGTCAGGAAGACCTGAATTCAAATAACACCTTGGATACTAGCTTTGTGACCTTGGACAAGTCACTTAATTGCTATCACATCAATTTCTCCAGGTATTACCTCCAATTTCTCTCATCCAAATGGGGATAATGATAGCACCTACTTTTCCATGTTGTCATGAGGCTTAAGTGAAATAATATACATGTAAAATGTCTTATAAACTTTGATGTGTTAGACAAATGGGCTATCATTGTCGCTTTTGTTGTTAGTCCTTCCAAATTGAAATCTATGATCCTAAGACCCTAAACCAGGAGGGCAAAGGAAACAGATCTGGCTTTATAGTCTCCAGCTCTTCTACTTAGTAAATATATGGATCTCACTTTCCTCTTCTTTGAATTCAGGGGAATGCAGAGTAAATGCTGGACCTGGAGTCAGGGAAACAAGAGTCCAAATCTCCCTCATACTTACTAGCTGTTTGACAAATCAGTTAAAATCTTGAGTGACTCAGTTTCCTTATCTATAAAATGGCAGTTCAGAATGTACTTGTTTCATAAGGTTATTGTGAAGGTCAAATGAGATAGTGTGAAGAGTATGCCAGGCCAACTTTATAGCATGATGATGATGATGATGATGATGATGATGATGATTACTGTTATCTCTAAGACCCTTCCACCTCTAAATCCTAAGATCCTATCTGGAGAGAGGGAAAAAAAACCCTCTACCCTAGAGGAACTGAACAGAGCTCCAGATAAAAGCGAATAAATCAATTACAGAGAAAAAGAAAAAGAAAAATGGGACGTGGTCTCTCTCTGTGTGTTGGCAAACACTCCTCCCCTTCCCAAACAGTTCTTCACCCCCCCTCCTCTTCCCCCCCCCATATGCTGAAGAATTGATGATTCTCAGCTGAAATCAAAGGTGCCCTGGCCTTAAAGAAAGGGGAACAATTAGGCATTTAATTTGGTCTGGCCCTCTCCAGCATCAGGGTCCTTGTGTTTTTCCCCCGTGCCTGTTCTGACCCTCCGCCCCCGCCCCTCCTCCCCATTCCCTTGAGGACTGGGAGCCCCCAGTGTGGTTCCGAACAGTTCTGCTCAAACGGATACTGTTTTCCAACAATCCCATGAGTGTCGAATTTTAATGTAACCTTCCTCTATTGTTCCCCGCTGCCAGCAGCCCGCAGCCCCCCAGCCAGCCCCCGGCTTGGCCCTCTCTGAGGTCCACGCTCCCCCTGCGTACCCCCCCTCCCCGCCCCAACCCGCGGCTCATTTGCACAAAAAGAACACAGAGTACCCACTCAGCAGCCCACCTTGAACAAAACACTCCAGGCCTCTAGAAAGCGGCAGAAGGGCTAATCAGGCAGGCACTGCGCTGCGCTAGTGCATCGGTTGTTTGGCATAGAAATAGGCTGTCTGGCCACAGCTATGAGGTAACGTCTGGCTTTTTTGCCAAGCTGCAGAACTAGTCAGACACTCCCTGGGACAACATTTCTTCAGGAAAAAAAAAAAATGAAGAAGCGGGTGATGAAGAGGAGGAAAAGAAAAGTTAAGCGACAAGCAAAGGTCTAACAGAAGCTTCCTCCTCGTCTGCCTCCTCACTTCCAAGCGCCCAGAACTGAATAGCCGCGATTTGTGAATTTCAGCATTGATTTCCAATGCGGGAGGGGATGGGGGGGTAGAGAAGAATCTTTGGAAATAGAAATAGGTTCCTTGACACTGCTACCCCGCCCACAACCTCCAGCTTCCACACACCAGCTTTTCTCCTTCCTTCAAGATGCAACTTTCACCCTCGTCTATTTTGGAAGTCCCAGAAATGGAGTAATAAAAATAGCATCATAGGGACCTACCTGAGTCTGTGGTCCCCCTTCTACAGCCGCATTAGAAGTCCACTTAGTTCCCCGGGAAGGGCTTTTTTTTTTTAACCAGTTGAGACTGGTGAGGGCCACACTTTGAAAAGAGGAAAATGAAACATACATTAAATTATAATAAACGCGTGAAACCTCCGAAATAAAATTTGCTTTGGTTTCTAGCCATTTGTTTATTTTAACTCAGTCTAATTACCAACTCCAGATGAAAATAGTAATTCAGTAAAACGAAGGAGTTGGACTGACTCCCCTTTCAGCTAGAACATGCTAAACTTATATAACCTGAATATTGAAGATCATACCATAAAAAATTAGTAGAGATCATGCCTAGGGCATGAATTCTTAACCAAATAAAAGATAGAGGTAATAAAGAAGACTTGATTTATATTTATTTATTATATATTTATAATTTCAAATAAAGTAAGTTCAAAAGATTTTGCATGAACAAAATTGATGCAACTAGAATTAGAAAGGAAGTGGTGGGCTGGGGAAAATATATCAAATAATCTCAGATAAGGGTCTGATACCCAAGATACATAGGCAACTTAAAGAAATATATAACAAAAGTTATTTGCCAATAAGTGGTCCAAGGATATGATGAACAATTCTCAAATCTGACAAACAATTATGACAATTTGCAAATTATTAACAACCATATTGAAGAATGAGCCATATCACTAATAATGAGAGAAATGCAAGTCAAAACAGCTCTGAGCTTTGACCTCATACCCAGAAAATTTGCATAATTGACAAAAGAGGAGAATAGTTAATGTTGGAAAGGTTGTGGGAAAATATATATGTCTCTGTGTGTGTGTATATATATATATATATATATATATATATATATATATATATATACATATATATACATACACATACACACACACACACACACACACACACATATATATATATATATATATTTTTTTGTGAGGCAATTGGGGTTAAGTGACTTGCCCAGGGTCACATAGCTAGTAAGTGTTAAGTGTCTGAGGCCAAATTTGAACTCTGGTCCTCCTGACTCCAAGGCCAGAGCTCTATTCACTGAGCCACCTAGCTGCTCCAGTTGTGGAAAAATAGGCATTGAAATGCTCTTTGGTGGCACTGTGAAGTTGTCCAACCATTCTGGAAAGTAATTTGGAATTATTTGAAGAAAGTGACTAAAACATCCAAACTCTCTCACCTAGAAACTCCATGGTTGGTCATATTCTCCAAAAAGGTCAATAATAATAATAACAATAAGTGTAATGACACTTTTCTTTTGTAGTAGCAGTAAAGAACTGGAAACAAAGTAAGAAATTACATTCATGTACCATAAATACTATAAGAAATGGTGAATATTATGAATACAGAAAAGCTTGAGAAAACTTGCATTAAATGATACAAAGTGAAGTGAGCAGGAACGTGAAAATGGCTACACAATAATTTTTAACAATGTAAATGGAAACAATAACACAATTGAAACAGAATGATTTCAAATTATAATGACCATGACTGATCCCAAAAAAGAGATATGAAAAGATACTTCCTTCCCTTCATTGTGGGAGGGATGGGGACTATGGATAGGTAAACAGTAAAAATAACAGTAAAGATATCAGCCGTTTTTTCCCCTTTTATTAATGTTTTCTGTTTTTCACATCACCGCAATATCCCGTGTATCCCTCCTCTTTGCCCTCTCTCTCCTAGACAGCCATGCCATATGACAAACAGTATTTTTTTGAGAGAAAAAAAATCAAGCACAACTGATCAAAACATTGAGAAAGTTCAAAATCACATGCAATGTATAACATATGTGGACTTCCCATCTCCATAAAGAGGGAGGTTAGGGATATTTCCTTATATCTCTTCACTTGAGTCCTTTATTTTATTTTTTTGGTGAGGCAGTCAGGGTGAAGTGCCCAGGGTCACATAGCTAAGTAAGTGTCCAGTGTCTGAGACCAGATTTGAACTGAGGTCCTCCTGAATCCGGGGCCAGTGATCTATCCACTTTGTTACCTAGCTGCCCCTATTTGAGTCTTTATAATTTTGTTACATTTACTTTTGATTTTTTGGTGTGTCATTGTTGTTTCTATTTAAATTGTTATAGTTCCTGTATATATTGTTTTTTGGGGCTCTGCTTGCTTTACTTTATATCAGTTCATGTAGCTCTTTCCATGCTTCTTCATATAGAGACTTTTTTTTTCTTATGATGGCTTCTTTAGGGGATCAGCCAAGGAATGGAGTCTCTGGTTCAAAGGGTATGGATATTTTGGTCACTTTTTCTAGTAATTCCAAATTGCTTTCCAAAATGGTTGTGTCATTTCACAGCTTCACCAACAATGTAATGACATGCCTGTTTTCCCACAACCCTTCCAACACTGATTATCGCCATTTTTTGGTCATTTTTACCAATTTGTAGGGCATGAGATAAAACCTCAGGGATGTTTTGATTTGTATTTCTCTTAACATCAGATTTTTTGGATGAATTTTTTTAAAGTTTCTCTTTTATTTTTTGTTGTAAAGGGATGGCTCTTTTGGAGGAGAAAGAGATACATTGAAAAATTTGGGTGACATAAACAAAAAATAATAACAGCTTTTAAAGGTTAGAAAATATTTATTGTCAAGCATTAAAAAAAAATCTGTCTCCTCTCCCCCTCTTTCTATGATCGAAGTCATTTCCTATCTCTGGCTTTTAGTTTCCTTGGGAAAATGAAGGGGCTTTGGATTAGGTTAATTCTAAGAACCTATATTCTATATCCTATGTCCCCAAATTTTAGAAGGATATCTAAGCTCAACCCTCTGAATGCTGTCCCACAGCAACTGCTAAAAGAAGAGAAATAAGTGTAGACTACATTCATTGATTCATTAAACATTTATTAAGCACCTACTATGTGTCAGGCACTGTGCTAAGCACTTTACAATGATTATTTCATTTGATTCTTACAATAAACCTGGGACACAGGTGCTATTATTACCCCCATTTTATAGGTGAGGAAACTTGGGCAAACTGAGGTTAAATGACTTGCTCAGGGTCCCATAGATAGGAGGAAGTATCTGAGGTCAGAGAGGTTCGATTCAATTCAAAGACCTCACCCATCTACCTTGTGGCTACAGAGACCCCTGATTTGCCTTTCTTAGAATATCTTTGAAGCCTAAATTCTTTTCCTTTTAATACTTAATGCCAAGCAGAAGCAAAAGAAAGCAAAGGCTCAGCCCCAGGATAGCCACGGGGGAGTAAGAAATACAAAGAATTCAGGTTTTAACCATGAAGACATCTGGCTCATCTTTCTACCTAACTTGGACCCTGCCTTTGGTTCCTGGAGCCTAGATCCCTTAGGATTCCAAAGACTCATTCATTACCATGCTCTTATTTCAGACCTGTTTTTGTAAATAATGCTCTTCCCTCCCAGGGAAAGGAAGAATAGAAAAAAAAATAGTGCTACATCTTCAAGGAATTCAGTCCGGGAGGGCCTATTGTTAGCTGTCTGGGTAAGTAGTTTCCCCTTTGAATGAAGATTTAAAGGTAGATGCTCAAGCATCCTGAGAGTTTTTTGTTTTGTTTGAGGAGTGGTTCTGGCCCCGTCGACTTCCTGGTCAACTTAGGTCCACTCCTACCACTAGAGAGGAGCTTCCAGCGATGGGCCCCACACATACAATTTCTAGATGCTCTGCAGAAAACACAGAGGAGGAAGCCTCGGGTTTTTTGCAGTTTTCTGAAAGGTGTGCTAGATTAGTTCTGCTCTCTTTATTTACAGACTGGCCATAGGGAGGACTTCATTTTTCCATAGCAGGAGGTGTTCTGAATATTGTCTTATGCAATCATTCTTTTACTGGAATGTTAGAACTGGAAGAAACCTAAGGACAAGGAGCACTGAATGTTAGAATAGGAAAACTCTCTCTCTCTCTCTCTCTCTCTCTCTCTCTCTCTCTCTCTCTCTCTCTCTCTCTCTCTTTCTCTGTAAGGAAGTATCACACCTTGACTTCTTCGTTACTCTCAGGGAGGATACTCTCTCTTCTGATGTAGGAGAGATAGGCTTGGCTCATCACCTTACCATCTTAGAGAGGTGCCTGAGACATTGAGATATTAAGTGACTTGTCTGGGGTAATACAGCCAGCATGTGGCTGACTGTTGAGTCAGGGCCAAGACTTGAATCCAGGTCTTCCTGACTCTGGGGCCAATTCTCTATCCATTATTTAATTACGGAAAGATCCTTCCAACAGAGAATGCCAGGATTGTAAAGGAACTCAGACATCATCTAGTCTAACATCCTCATTTTACATATGGAGATCCTGAGGAAGGGTGCTTTCAGAATCTTACAGTGGAAAAAAAACACATTATCTCTAGAGTCAGAGAACCAAAGTTCAGGTCTTATTTCTAACTCCCTGTATGAACTCAGACAAATCACTCTTTTCTCTGAACTTTCATTCCCTCATCTGTCAAATGGGGAGCTCTACTAGTTGGCCTCTGAGGTCCCTTCCAACTCTAAAGGTATGAGGCTGTGAGTTAGTTTAATCCCCTTATTTTGCAGGAGAAAAAGCTGAGGCCCAGAAAGGGGCAGTGACTTACTTAATGTTACCTAGTGAGT